GCCAAGCTCTTTGTGCACTCTGCAAATCTGATCGGGTCTTTCAACCGCCTCGCATGGCAGGCCATAGTCATGGTCTGCTCAGCCAGCTTGGCGGGAATCTGGTACTTGTCCACCCCAGGAAAGTTTTCCTTCAGTGAAGGAAAGCAGGCCAGGATCTTCTGGTAGACCATCTTCAGCTCGGAGTATTTAAACAACAGCATCGGCTGTGCAAGCATCAACTTCTCCAGAAACGGTGCGAGGTATGCCAGGTCATCTCCGACGATCGCCTGCTTGCAGATTAAGTTGGGAACCGTGTTTTCCTACTGTATTCACAGCTCGAGCTTCTTTCCAAAAGCATAAAAAATGTTTACACTCAACACCCTCACTGTCCTGGCTTTTTGCAACGGACTGGTAGGACCTGAAGTTGAACTGGCCTTCTTTCCTCACCACGTCAGAAAGAAGGTCCTCCAGGTGGACCAGGTCGGTGCTGGGCACTTTCAGCCTCCTTGCACCACCATGAGCTTTATCCATGCTGCCTCTCTATTTTCTTTAAGTGATCCTGGCAGCCAAATGTCTAAAGCATATCTCCAATGGCCTATACAAAACAAATCCATGCTAGTACCTGCCTTTCCAGGCATTAAATTCGTGCATGTCTGCAGTCCACACATTAATATCTGCTTATATATCTGCCTGGGTCCTTTAAATTTAGCATCAATGCTTGTCTCTGAAGAGACGTATGCGAATTGCCTGTCCAGGCACTAAAGTAAACCTTATAAAGAGAAGAAAGAGAAAATGAGAAGCAATCATGTCTGTCCAGACATGCGAATTGCCTGTCCAGGCACCTATAAGAGAAGAAAGAGAAAATGAGAAGCAATCATGTCTGTCCAGACATGCATGCGAACTGCCTGTCCAGGCATCATGTCTGTCCAGACATGCGAACTGCCTGTCCAGGCATCATGTCTGTCCAGACATGCGAACTGCCTGTCCAGGCATCATGTCTGTCCAGACATGCGAACTGCCTGTCCAGGCATCATGTCTGTCCAGACATGCGAACTGCCTGTCCAGGCATCATGTCTGTCCAGACATGCGAACTGCCTGTCCAGGCATGAACCTTGTCTGTCCAGACATATAAGCCCTAAACCCTAAAACCCTGAACCCGAAAACTAAACCCCGAACCCTGAACCCTGAACCCTAAACCCGAAACCCTAAACCCTAAACCCTGAACCCTGAACCCTAAATCCTAAACCCTAAACCCTAAACCCTAAACCCAATTTAGGGTTTATAGGGTTATAAATTTTAAATATAGGGTTCAGGGTTAACCCTAAACCTCAACCCGGGCCTGAGCCATATAGGGTTTAGGGTTTAAGGTTTAGGCGAGCCTAATATACATATATATCTATCACATACATATATATATATACATATATATCCTACATGCATATATATATGTATATATATATGCAATATGCATGTAAAATAATTGCATGTATAGATATATATGTATATATACACCTTATATTTATGTGAACAGACACCTATTTCGTGAAACATATTCTTAAATATTTCAACAATACATGTTTTCCTCTGAGTGAAAATTCAAGATTTGTTTCAAGATTGGAAAAGTGCTGTTTTTTAAAAATCAAGCGCAGATTTTTGAAATTCAAGATTTTTTTCAAGTGCAAAATTCGTGAAATTTCCAAAATTTCAAGATTTTTTCAAGATTTTTTTCAAGCGGAAAGTCCATTTTATAGACATTTCAAGCTTGATTTTTAGCTGTTTTTCTCCATTTTCAAGCGCAGCTTGAAAATTGAAAAAAATCAAGTGCCAGCTTGATTTTTTTCAAGTTTGGAGCCTATGGGTGTAAGTGTAGTGTGTGCGTTGTGTCTGATTTTCACACATACTACTCAAGTAACGCAGGTGGCAGAGAAGGTGAGAGTAAAGCTGTTTGTGGACGACAACACCACAGACAATGAGCGCAAGCCATACGCTGGTAGGGTCCGTGCCATCCGCCGGCACCGTGTCAACCAGAGGCAACATTCGTCGGTGCAGAAGCAGTATGTATCCAGTGTGAAGCAGCGCGGAGTGGTAGAAGGGGTCCGCGGAGAGCTCTGGTGCACCGCGCCGGACAGCGAGGGCATCTACGGAGCTCTTACGTGGGGGAGCCTTACCGAGGCGGTCTTCCAGGCACTCCTGGAAGACCCCGACAACCAGCAGCTGACGTTGGTGGTCACCAAGGGAATCGAAGCCAAGTTGCTGTCCAACAAAACGCCGGACAGTGTGCTCAAGTTCTTGACCCGACTCCATAATCGCTTTCATTCCGGAGCGAGTACGAGTTTTCTAGAACTGATACAACTCGTTCCAGAAGCCTCTCGGATCCCACTGGCATCAAAGAGAGTCGGTTTGGTAGTGTCCTGAGAACACAGTAGATGCATGGCGCTGAGGTGGAGGTTGCCCTCACGCAGTTCAAGCAGTCCACGGGGCTCACGTGGAAGAGCACGGACTATGAGTCCCAGTGTGCGTCGTGGCTCAAAAAGCACCGTGACTACGGCGAGACCTTCCCGGAGTGGAAGCTGTACGAGTCTGCCAGGTCTGTGTACAAGCTTCTGAACAAGTCCGGCATGCTTGAAGACTTCAAAAGACACATGGAGTGCTTCTGCGACTTTCTGTGCCCCCGCCTGAACGCGAGCGTGGCCCTGCAGTGCATCCAGCATGTCTTGAACGCAGTCGCGGTGAGCTTGTACGATGGCACAGACACAGAGGACTTTTTTTTGTTTCCGACAAAAAAAAGGCATGCTACCGCTACCGCCCATAGTTGGTCTGGTGACCGCATTGTCAGGACCTGCGGCTGTTGAGCTTGGAGCTGTCCTCCATGTGCGCCAGCCCTCTGCAAATGCACGGAATGTTGTTGCGTGTTTTTTTTTGCAGCGCATGATGTACCTGGAGTCGAGGTTCCGCTGCTTGAGGACGGCAGTGAGGAGCATTGGGTCTTCGATCAGTTGCCCAAGAAGGCCATGATCACCCGAGACTGGTCGTGGTAGGGAAGCTTTTCTCGGTGCCTACTGTGGGTGGGCGGGTGAATGTTGTAAGCAGAATTCGAAGTACTCAAACAAGGAATATTCACCGTGATGACGGGCTCCGTGGTGGTGAAGAACGCAGGGGTCAAGAAAGCATCCACGAAGGCCCAGGCAGCCCCGAAAGCTGCCAAGAAGGCTAAGGCCAAGGCTCAAGCGATCCCTGGGCCGCTCGAGGAAGGCTTGGCCGAGACAACCGTGTCGGTGTTCGGAACAAGCTCTGGGTTGATGACCTCTTGAACTCCATCAACTTCAGCCTCAAGTCGCTCTTCTCCCAGCCGCGGTACCAGAAGACGTCCAGCAGCACACGGGCGGATCTCCGTCGCGCCCTGCTCCGCGCCGGCCTGATGTTTGCGTTTCAAGGCGAAGTTGTTATCGACTCTGGCAAGGACAAAGGTGCCCGCACGTATCGCAAGTGGAGTGCGCTGCGCCCAGCGCTGCAAGCCTTTGCCAGCTTGGCCTTGACTCAGGCCGGGCAGTGCCCTAAACCCTTTCGCCCTGTGACCCAAGTCAAGCTTTGATTCTCGCAGACGTCTTGAGCTCACTTGCAGTCCAAAAGTAGGCTTCGTAGTTAGGTCGAGGTCACGGCTTAAAGCCCAAAACCCCAAACCGGTGAGAACAGCATCCTAAACCTACCCTAAACCCCCCCCCCATACCTAAACCCTAAATGCAGCGAGCTCAGATGTGTGACTATTCTCTACTCTGCTCCGTTGCGCCAGTGCGTTGCGCCACGTTAAATCGTGGCACGAGGCGTCGGGCAACGCGGAGTCGCACGTGGAGATGGGAGGCGACGCCAGTGCCCGGCTGCCAGCATGGAAGGAGAGCCAGCAGGTTTAGGAGGAGACTTCGTTGGATGCTCTGGCGAAGATGGCAAGCTTGGCCGGAGCTGTGTGCAGCTTCTTGGAGACCGAAGCCATGAATATCCTGCAGGCTGAGAAGCCACTGGAAGTCAGCAAGCACACGACCTTCAACCGTGTGAAGGCTGCCGTGCTCACAAGTTGCACCTGCAAGCGCGGGCCTGGAGGCGCAGGTGATCCCAAGTCTTGCCATATCCACTGCCCTGAACCCTCCCTGGCAGAGATCATCTTCGCTGTGGGGCAGGAGGTTTTTGCAAGCTTCGGCGACGAGTTCACATGCTTCGCAACCCTGTTCATGGAAGCTGCTGCAAAAGGTTGGGTACGTGAGTGTTCTCTCTCTCTCTCTCTCTCTCTCTCTCTCTCTCCATTCTGTGTGTGTTCTAACTTGTTTTCATGTTGAAGATGCGTCGAAGAGTATGGCAGGCTGGACAAGTCCACAGAACAGGGTCAAAGAGAATCCTACTGATGCCAAAAAGTTCGCAGCTTTGCTACGCTTGGAACTCACTGCCAAGAACGGCATCTCCCTGCAGAAGATGCGGACGGCGTACATGATTCAGTGTGTTGTGGACTTACTCAGCAGCACGGCCTCGACCAGCTTGTCTCAGCTGTGGGTTGCCCTGAAGTCAAGTCCTGTGGTGGCGAAGCTACAGCTGATGGATTGTTGCTGCGTCAGCGGACCGGAAGGCATGTGTGGTGCCTGGACACTTGCTATGGAGACTCTCAAGACAAATGGCGACGTCGATGTGGCGGACGTGTTCACACAGTGCGACATTCAGCCTTTCACTGAAGCGGGGCAAACCCTGCTGCAGGGCAGCACAAGCACTTCGAAGATCACAGGCGGTTCGGACGAAGAGGACGAAGGCGTGGATATGCTTTCGGTGCAGGAGCTCCTCAACTTCGGTTCCGGCCCATTAGTGCCCCCAGCCGATGTGCTTGCAAATCTCCGACACGAAGTGCAGCAGCAGCTTGTGGACCATGCAAGGACAGTACGCTAAAAACATGTTTCATGATGAGATGTGGATGTTATGAGAGCATAGTGTTTTCAAGCATTGTTTTTTTCAGGACCTTGGAGAAAGAAATCCGCCACAAAATCATGGTGTCGTGGAAGACGGTGCAAGACAGCAAAGGAAGGACAAAAACAGAGTACGAGACTTTGTGGAAGGTCGACGAAATGAATGATGACCTGGGGACATCTGCCGACAACCCAGACGTTAGCACGGTCCGGATGCCACCAGGTGTTGAGCTTGTCTTCTTCGGAGACGTATGTGACTAGGCAATTTGTTTTAATTTGTTTTGTCAGTCTTCTTTACAGGCATTGGTGTCTACAGCAGATGATGTGAATTGATCTTGAGGCGAGTATTCCGTGCATGCGTCGGTCGGCCCGATGGACAAGTTTGGCTTGCGTGCGGGGAAGACGGCCAATCAAGTGCCGCTGAAGATTTTGGTTGATGGCAAATCCTATGGTGCAGCCCCTACTCATGCGACCTGTTGTCACAGTTTTCCAGTGTGCTTTGAACTGCCGTGCTGGACTCTTGTGGTGTCATGTGTCGCAGATGCTAGGCCGAAAGATTGTTGTGCTTTTTTTTTTGCACTATGTAAGGTGGAATCGAGTGGGGCATCGACGGCTCCAATGCTGCTGCTTTGGAATCCTCTGTCATCTGCCCTGCGTGGTTGATTCCCGCCGCAATGACCCTCAATGACAAGAAGCCTCCCAGGCATGCGTTCGAGTTTGCTTTCAAGCATGACTTGAGCTTCAAGTACGAGCTGCCGGTCAATGGTGTGATGAAGGAATGCGAGGTGAAGGTCACCTACCCGATCCTTAAGTCCGTTGATGACTGCATGTGCATCGTGAAGGATGTGAAAGAGAAAGCGATGGCCATCGTTTGCAGAGGATTGCTGTCGCTTCCATTGCATTTGGTAACACATCATGCCGGTGTGTCATGTCTAAAAACGGTTTAGGGTTTAGGGTTTAGGGTTCAGGGTTCAGGGTTCAGGGTTTAGGGTTTAGGGTTTAGGGTTTAGGGTTTAGGGTTTAGGGTATTTCGCCCAGCCAAGGCCTGGCGAGACATTGCGCAACAAGAAGCGTGGTGCCACCATTGAGGGTGAAGCCGATCAGAAGGTTGCCACTGAGCCCATGCAACTTTCGACGAAGGTTGGTGCAGGTGCCGCCGTGATGCAAGCACTGAACAAGAAGTCCGGTGCATCGGCAGCTGCCGGCAGTTTGGTTTTGAAGACCCCCAAAGACGCTAGGCACTTGGTCAAGTGATGTAAGTGAGAGACCAGAAGCATCTTCACTGAAGACTGGAAAGTGAATCAACACGAAACGTGTTGCTGTTCAGCACTGCCGTGATGGTGGATGACTTTTGTTGTTACAGGCAAGTTTACAGGCTGTTAGAAAGGTAGCAAGGGTGGCTTCGCTGCATGTAGGCTCGCAATGTCATCCGCCTCTGTTTTGCGTGCTGTCAAAAACTGCTGAGCCTCAGCCTCTAGCCGCCTCGAGCTGCAAAAAAAAGGGGTGCAGCGCCGTGCTGTTGAAGCAGTCGTTTGTTGCATACGTTGCTGTACAGCTGGCGTTAAGAGCTACGTGGCAATATGTGTGGAAACAATTTTCTGTTCTCTTGCATGTTCTTGTCCCATCGCAGGCGACATCATCCCCTGCACCAACGGCTCTGACAGTTGACTTTGCGAATGCAATGGACAAAAACACGCTCCAGTTCAATGTTCCATCATCTTCACACATGTGTAGTTGCGCAGGTCTTATTGCACTTGCTGCTGTGCACAATGTTCTCAGGAATCTATTTTGAATTTCCGTGGCGTCTGCGTCGCCAGTGTTGCTAAAACACCTTCATGCTGGCCGCACCGGGTTTCAGGCCTCCTGGGATCCACCCAGGGGCATAGGGGGGGGGCAGGCCGACATGCATCACATCTGTGAGACATTTGCACGGGCTTACCCTAAACCCTAAACCCTAAACCCTAAACCCTAAACCCTAAACCCTAAACCCTAAACCCTAAACCCTAAACGGTCCCTTATCGTTTTTCAGTATGGGGTCCCGGGGTTGTAACTTTGAACCCTGTAGGGAACCCAAATCAGGGCCAGCAATGAACAGCACGCCAATGCAGCTGGAGAGCAGCTGCCGAGCGGAACGCACGGTCGCTGAGGTCGCAGGAGCTTAGGTGTCGTTTAGGGTTTAGGGTTTAGGGTTTAGGGTTTAGGGTTTAGGGTTTGTTCAGAGCTCAGGACATTGGAGGGCCACGGGACTAAAGGAGGGACCCTTCTAAGGGACCTGAAAGGCCGTTTCGGGGCTACTGAGGGGCTTAGTCTCGTCCCTCCGTAAGAGGGCGAGCTTCAGGTGGGTACTTGGAGCTTCAGGTGAATACTTATAAGTAGGAGGTTAAAAGCCATAGTTACCATACCTATAACACTACTTGCAACTAGCCATGAACCTCCAAGGGGCTTCAAAGACCCTAAACCCCGAAAGCCCGGACCCTTGACGCACAAGGAATCCTCAATTCCCCCCCGTGTAGGCTCGGTGGCTGCATGCTTCATCATGCAGTTGTTCTTGGGACCCTCATTGTATTCACAACAGCAGCCTTCCTATGTAGCCTTGAGTTTAATCCCTAAACCCTGAACCCTAAACTGTTCAGGCCATTCTTATTGTTGCTTTGAGGGCTCAGGTTTAGGGTTTGGAGTGTTGGGTCGAGGTCGTTGCGCAGTCTCCACCTTCTGCCGGCCAACCTACTTCAGTTCACGCTTACACCCTTTCCCCTGAGCCTTTATGATTTTGAACCCTAAACCCTAAACCCTGAACCCTAAACCCTAAACCCTAAACCCAGAAACAGGTTGTTTTTAAGACTCCTGCGGGACAGTCAGCGAAGTCGTGACTCCGTCGGCGAAAATTGGTGATAGGGAGCCACTGATCGAGTCGCTCAGCATCAACGGTCCCGGGGACCACTGAGAGTTGTAGGCTTCTTGTAGGTTACAGGCTTTAAGGGTATAGCAGTCAGGGCCTAAGCTTGCCCCCCGAAAGCTAAGCCCTGCCAAGCCCAAACAAAAACCATATACCCATACCAAGACAGCTGGCTATCTTCCATGCACCAGACTCCCCTCGCAGCCCAGAAGCCCAGAACAACCCAAAACCACATGGTCACTGAGTCACAAGGTTGAGGGGTTTTAGGAATTACGACTTACCGGGGTTAAACCCTAAACCCTAAACCAGGGACAGGCCGCTGCGACCCGGGTCCGTAGGAGAAAAAGGTTGGCCATTGATTCTTGGAGTCCGCAAGAGACAACGACGCCTGCGGTACTCCCTGGTCGCGTGAAGTTGCAGCGCGAGCGAACAAAGAGGCACAGTGCCCTAAACACATACCCCCTGAACCCTAAACCCCAAACCCCTCACCCCTAAACCCCTACAAACCCCTAACCCCTACATACAAACCCTCCATCCCCTAGAATGGCCAACTGGCCAACTTTAGACCCCCTGAAACACAGGGAGTGAGGAGTATCGGCGGGGTTCAGTTGAGGTCTTTGAAAGGGTTCACGGTGTGGTTGTGTGTGTGTGTGTGTATAGGTAGGTAGGTAAGCCTTCGGTTTAGGGATGAATTTGGGGCTTGAGCTGCCTAGCTGGCTTTGTGCTGTAGTTTGTGGATATAGGGAATGTAAACCCTAAACCCTAAACACCCTAAACCCTACACCCTACGCGCCCCCCGCCCCACCCCCCCCTGTAAGAATCCAAGACCAAAAGTTTGAACCTGGCCTGTGTGCGAGGCCTTCACCTTGCTCATCTATCCCCTGCCGACCAAACCCTTTCCCTTGAGGGTTGAGGCTTGAACTCATCTGGACAACGGCTCTCTTTTGCAGACACCCTAAAACCTAAACCCGATACCCCAAACCCTAAGCCCTAAACCCTAAACCCTGAATCCCTTCCTACCACGGCTGGGGGCCGTCTGCAAACTTTGGCGCCTTTGAGTCTCTTTTGGGGCTTGCTCGGACGGCTTGCAGGGACTCCATAATAAGGGTTTAGGGTTTCGGACCCTAAACCCTAAACCCTAAACCCTAAACCCTAAATCCTAAACCCGTGCGGTGCGCGAGCGACCTGGGCCAGCCTGTTCCATCGAGGTTCGAGGGGGGTCCCGCTGCCTTGAGTTTTTTGGTCTTTGGGGTTTGGGCTTGGCAGGCCACGGGTGTGGTGTGCTTAGAGAAGCCGGTATGCCCTTCTGAGAGACCGAACCGCGAACCCTATACCCAAAAGTTCCATGCCAAGCGCCCCAAACCCTGAGCCACCAACACCCTGTGCAGTTCTCAGGTCATCTGGTACTTGCACAACGAGGCCCGCGCAGACCAAGGGGGTCTTGGCCGGAGATCATTGCGCATGTTCTGGTTCCTGCCGCTGGTTGACTAGCACCACCCAAGGCTCAAAAGGGAAGACAGCTCCGCAGTTTGCTGAGCGGACACACGAAGCGAAGCCTGCCCAAACACGACGTTTTAGCGATGCAAGCCAGCACCTAAGAAGCCCAGAACTGGTGTGTTCACGCGGTTCACGGAAAATGTGTATCGCCCGACACTCTACACCAGGTTTGGCCGTGAAAGGGTCAACCGAGGCAGCCTGGGTATGAACACTTCAACTCCACATGCACATGGCATTCATGCAAGGGTCATGTCCTGAACGATGTGCCGCGGTGTCAAGGGTGTAAGAATAAAACCCAAACTTTTACTTTTTGCTCACTGGGGTATTTGAAACTCCCCTTTGCCCTAAACCGACAAACTCCTCAGCTAAGCCCCACAAACCCTAAACCCCAAACCTAGACCCTAAACCTTTTTCCAGTAACCCTTAACCCTAAACCCTAAACCCGAAGCCCTGACCATCCTCAACCCTATGAACCTTGAAGCCTACACCCGCGAGGTTGTCAAGATGTGCCCACGCCACTACAACATTTCTCGTATCTTGCGTGGCTTGGCCTGCAACCCTGGGGTTTAGGGTTTAGGGTTTAGGGTTTAGGGTTTAGGGTTTAGGGTTTAGGGTTTAGGGTTTAGGGTTTAGGGTTTAGGGTTTAGAGTAACCCTGGAGTTTAGGGTTTAGGCTTTCGGCTTTAGGGTTTAGGGGCGATGGCCGAGGGTTTTGGGCTTGTGGCTTTGAGGCTCAGGGGGGTTGTCACATGTTGAGTTCTACGTCTTTGTGGGGCGGTGTGTAAGTTGGAACACCCTTATTAGACCCTGAGCTTGCCTAAGACCCTAAACAGTCAACCCTAAATCCAGGCTCCATCGTGCCCGTTTGCCCCGTCACCTCCGACGCGTCTCTGGCTTTGGATTCCATGCTCGTAGCGCATGCGAATGGCCGGAGCACACATGCCCGCACGATGATAAACTCCATGTTACCGGTGCGTGCGAATGATGAGGAAAGAAATCAGCATCCGGGCATCGAAGCGCTTCTGGCAGCTGTCGCTTCGCATCGTTGACGATACGAAGACCAAGTCAAGCCAAAAGAGCTGTTCAGTCAGACGGACTTCCAGCTGCCGGGCTGAAAAGTGCAGACGTTCAGCGCGTAAAAACCTCGAGTTTTCAGCGTTCTTTTCAGTACAACGCGAGCAGCACGAGCAGGCACTGATGCTGCCGGGGTCAGAAATACAGGAAATTCGCAGAAACATCGAGGTTGTTTGCGTGTTTGGCCTCAAACACATGCTTGACTGGGATGCACTTAGAAACGTGCCGTAGTCCATGTTTACCGGCCCTGCCGTGCATTCCAACATCGCACCAGACATCTTGCGGGGCAAACGGACATGATTGAGCCTAAAGTCAGGGGTGATGGGGATCCCTATAGATCCCTTCCTTACTACGTGCAAATAAGTAGAAAATGCATAATATGCTGTACGAACACCAGCAGAACATACTGTGTAAACACCCTAGAAACTTGGAACTGCAAACTAAACACGGCCTTTGCCAGGGCTTTTTGAACCCTGAGTAACCCTAAACCCTAAACCCTAAACCCTAAACCAGTAGAGTAGGTGCGGAGTTGCAGATAGTCACAGGCTTGGGCTTGGGGCTTGGGATCACGGCCTTTGTTGCTCGACGTTACCGCGATTCCAGACAGGCTTTTCTGCCCCAAGGCCTAAACCCTAACCCCTAAACTCTAAACCCTAAACCCTGATGCTACAATTCTACTCGAAGAGGGTGAGTCTCGAGATAAAATTGGGGGACTTTTCGGGGGATCTGTAAGTACGGTAGAAGTTTTAAGGTTTGGGGTTTCGGGTTTAGGGTTTAGGACCAGGATA